CCCCAAAACCCCAAAACCCCAAAACCCCAAAACCCCAGCCCTCTAAAACCCCATTGAAGTTACTTACAGTCCATAAATTTCTGCATATACTTCACTACTTCCTCTCTTCCCTTTCTTCTCCCTCTATCTTCTTCCTCTCCTAATGGTCCATAGCTTCTCTCCTCTTCTTCTCATCTTCAATCCCTTTCTGTGCACCAAATCCCATCTCTTTCATCATCCTAAACCCCCCCATAACTTTAGCCTCTATAAACCACCACTAAGCCACTTAAATTCACCTCTCTCACCCAATCCTCCAAATCCCATTTAAACCCAAACCAATCTCCTATACCCCCTCTGAACTCCTAAACCTTCATACCCCTAAAACACCATTCCTGCCCTTAACCTCAGCCCCAAGGCACCTATCCCCCCTACCCCTCTTCCTAAAATTATTCCAAATCTCAGTGAAATCCCTCCTAATCCTTCCATTCAGGCCAAAATTTTAAAATCTAAGTTTCCTAAAGGGTCCGATATATCGTTATGACTTCAAAACTCTCCGAAGATGCACAAATTTACCTAATATCCATTGGTTAAAATATCTTTACTAAACCCAATGTCCTAATCACTTAAAAATTATGATATTTCCTCTAGATTTAGTCCTCTCCAGTTTTTGTATGATGTAGTATTGTATAAACCATGAAGTCTTCGACTTCTTTAGAGTGTTTTTGCAAATTACTTAGTACTTTAGGTTTAAAATCCTGAATCTTGGTCTAGTTTTACCGTCTAGGTTGGGTTTCAGGTGCCTCAATTCATCCTAAATCTAGCTCTGGCTTGTTAAATATCAATGCTTAATTTGCTCTTGCAGGTTCTGCAATCTGATTCTTGCAATTTCTCAGTGTCTTCACAGTAGAGGGTGAGGCAGTTGGAGCATACATATCCATAATTAATGATCTTGTTGCAGCAAGAGCAGGAGACTCTGAGGTCTAGTTCCTCCTGGAAAGTTCTGTTGAATGACTTCCTTGTCTGACTATCTAAAGGCCATTTTATTAAATCCACTTACCTAATCAATAGTTGTCCATGAAGAGGAAGTTGACTATCTCCTCTCTGTCCAGAGTCTTTGTGTAGATTCCATTAGTGAGGTATGAACATTGCTGCAAGAGAATAGAATCTTGCTTGTTGAACATGATCGAGTCAATGACAACGCTGTTCTTTTGGCAAGCAAAAATCGAATTTACTACTGAGTAATAGTCATCATTGTTGTCTGGAGAGGCTTGGAAAATCATAATTCGCGAGTTTAGAGTAACGTCAGGCCGATAGTTCTTCAAATTCCAACTATTGATAAAGCAGCTTGACTTCTTTAACGCCGAGCCTATCTTGGAATATCCTTTGGACTCACTGGCCATTGCTTCTTGGAATTTCTCATCAGAGTATAAATCTTCGATTGATTTCATTAAATTTGAGGAAAATGTGGTAAACTTGAGCCCTATAGCTTCATCATTCTTAGGCCCTAGAAAGAGAGCTTCATGTGGGAAGGAGCCATACACTGCTACTTCATTGTTAGATGACTGCAACAAATGAGCGTTGATGAAGAAGCACATCTTCTTGATACAGTCAAAATAGAGCTCAGACTTATTAACATCAGCTGGGACTTCTGAAGTAGAGCCATTTTTGCTATTGTGTGCAGATATCTCCTCTGCCTTTTTCATCCAAACATCGAAGTTTAAGTCAAGGATAATACACAGCAGGCTCTTTGTAATAGACTTGGTATCCTCCTTCTCTTGAGAGCCGAGGAAACCTCCGTTGCTTTGCTGGTTTGACTCCATTTATTATCGCAAATGTTTCTATTTTTGCTAATTTTTCAGGGGTTTTGGGGTTTTGGGGTTTTGGGGTTTTGGGG